TCTTTACTATGTGAACAATATTTCAATAGGTATATTGTTCAGAAAATGTACGTGCATAATATTTTGTAAGGATGTGCCAATGACCCTAGCATACTAGCTCCACAGGTTTCATCACAACATAATATTATTATAATCGAAGTATACCTTGACCAATAATCAGAATATTCACTAACAATTAATGCATTAATGGCATGTCGATGCACTTGTTAGTTCGTATTATAATAGAACAAATGAAAATAAATAAATACACACACCACGGCAAAACCCTGTATTGTGGGAAATACTTTTCGGTAATAGATAGAAATAATTTAAATAAATCCTTAGTAAAACTGGGAAAGGGTTGAATTCGTTTACTTACAACTGTATATATAATAGATACCTATGTATATTATTATGATAAAAAAATATTTTGGATTAAAACTCTGATTTTCGTATCCTTATAGCTGTAGATAATAATATCAATTTATTATAATCGGTGTCATACTATTATTATATAGATTTAATACGGGGCGATTCACAGCGAGTGATCATCTCGTTTTACATTTTAATAATGTATTTATTCAAATTTTAATTTTTGAAATTTTTGAATTCACTTAAATAAGGCCATATATTTTATAAATATTTAAATTTTTTTACTAATTAATGATTGTCCTGTATGGTGACACAAAGTTATTTTTTAAAATAAGACAATTCAGAGACTACTCGTTAGTTAAGTACATCAAAATCATAACAAAATCATCTACTTAATGACTTATAGTCAAGAACTTGGGTTCTTATCTGAAAAAAAGAAGTTTGCAAGACACTCCTTCAACAGTATACCTACTAACCTACTTGTACAAATCTAAATAATTAATAATATGACGTGGTCTTTAAGTATACCTACAATTTCGAAAATTAGAATTAGGGTTGATACATTTATTGTACTATTAAATAAACGTGTGAAATATCAAGAGTAATTTATATTATATTATAATATATTATCAAGATACACGGGCGCCGACTATTCCATGACCCATTCCATAGAGGGCGGATATAAATGAAACAACACGTCATATTAATATATATTATACATTTATACATAAGCACAGCATGAAATTTGAAAAACTCAGCTCCCATTGATACACCTATAATGTACGGAAATCATATGCCAACTTTTTAGCTAATAAAATCGCAGTAAAATGTTACGTATTCGTATAAAATGGTTAACTGAAACGTTATATTTTATAGTTCTTTGTATACCTACCCAGTGCACCTACCTATATAATGCGTATAGCTACAAGTATCGGTTTATGATATTCATTCGAAATGTTAACGATTTACGAGAATAAATTGGTTTTCGTTCTCCCGAGAGTGGCCGAGACGTTATAGGTAATATCATATTAATCGGACGGGGTCTTCTCCGAAGCACTAGGCATTCCGGATGGCTCTCCGACCATGCGTTTACAGTACGAATCGTAAAAGTATACTACTTTATACTGTACAGTTGTAGTACGCTACCATACTGCTACGACTGCTTTAAAATACAATCATTATACTTTTAATCCAAATTGGACGAAATACGTAGGTACCACACTGCCACAACCACCGAGTTATGCGCGTTTATCACTATCTAGTATTCTAGTATAATAATATGATTCGGGGTTATGTCTACTACGGCGGCGGTCTTTAATCATATTTAGGACAGACATTCGTTGGTAAATTCTCGAGGCGTTTGAGTTTCCTTATCAATCATGGGTATAATATATATAAGCGCGCAGTGGATTCCGGTACAATACCATATACTTATATATATATAATAATATAATATGTATATTATTGTATTTCGTATATATATATACGTATATATATACCAACGGGTGTTGAATAATTCCGTCAGTCCCATTTAAATACAATTCGAGGCTTCCCGTTTAAATTATACCGAAATGGCGGATTCAATTAGTCTTAATTTTCAAGGTCCCTGTATATAACGCATTATAACATTATATTGTTGTATACGGCCTCAACACTGCAACACGACGTATAGTATTGTGTAGGCTCGTACGATGATGATAATATTATACTATGTACGCCACGACGCGCCGGCTCCGCTGTCGGACTTTTACGCCGCTCTTACGCCTATATATAGAAGTGCCTTTACCAGCTATAATATTATATTATACGCGTATCTCGCCGCAGACATTAAATTATTATAATATTATGTCCTTTCACTCTGCCGGCGACGTTGTCGCAGTCTCAGAGAAAACTGCCCTCGATACACTGTTGCTATAGCTAGACGACACATTTATTAGAAAGCCATCGGTTCCGTTTATTTTTTATTTTTCTCTCAACCATCTGCAGCAGCCCATCGGTCGGGCAGTTATTTTCTCACGCGTTATGATATCGTACCTATATAATAATATTAGGTTCCCCATAGGTACCCGCATATAAATAATCGTATGGGTTTCAAACTCGATCAATCGCGCTAATTTTTTTTTTAATCGTTTAGATATAAAATCCATCAGTCTTTAGTCAAACGATAATTTTATAAATTATTGTGGTATTACATTATTACCTATATAATTATAATAATAATAATTAATATCATAATTGTTTATCGTTTTCGAGTGTACACCTACCCAAATGGTGTTTACATATTATAACATATTATTTTTACTATTCCTTTGTTTATATAGCAATTCGCTTGAGATCAAACGTGAAACATTGCCATTTCGTTATTGCTGTAAAACATCTTATCTTAACTCATCAATGACCGTTTTTTAATCAAAGTAATAAATAATATTTATTAAAATTTGAAATTGTTATAATTTACTGTTGTTGGTATCAATTTTAATTTGTGTACAACGAAATTGACAGTAAATAATATTGTAGTCAATTTTAAGTATATACATGTTTTGCGTTTCGACATTTTACAATAATTCGCTAGTGATAGTTTTATAACGCTGGTCAAATCAGTTAAAACAGTATACACCTAGTGCCAACAGCTACTAAGCATCTGAAGATCAATCACGCTACTTCATTTGTTCGGTCCTTTCAATAATGATAGAGCTGTTTTGGTCAGTCATTTTACGATAATATTATCGATTATTCGATATAACATCGATTCATTTTTAGAAGGGAAAATACTGAGCGGCAAGTTTGGATAAGGTATTAGAAGTTTTTGTATTACGTACACATATAGGGTGGAACAAATATAATTGTCAATGTTACTATTGAACAATTATTGTAACAACTTTTATTCTAACAAACTATTTTAAATTTAATTGTTGTATGATTATTATTGATTATATATTTTAAATCGAAATTTAAATATTAATAAGAACAAATGTAATTCGTGATTGGTCAATTATATTTTGCAGCTGATTCTGCCACACTCTGTTGTAATCTATAGTTGTTAATTATAACATTTAACATACTACGTACATTTTACGTACTTTCGAATAACTCTTTGGTGAAATCAATTAAATATAATTAATTTTGTAATATTATATGTATATAATTAATAATCAAAAACGGTTTAAGATATTAAGCATAGATTTTAAATGATTTTTTGTTTTTAGTGACTTAGAAACTCACACCTTTAAATGAACTTATATTCAAAATAATGGTTTTATTTCATTATTTATAATTTATGTAATAACTATATCATTTGGGATTTCTATACCTCTAATAATTATTTGATAATTAATTTTAAATTGTTCCCCGTACGATATACTTGAAAGATGAAGTAATATAGGTGCTAACGAAGTAAAGCGACAGAATAATATAATAATTAATAACAATATGGATTATGGATTAATTACTAATTTTATCAGTTTACGTGTTGGCGTATATACTATACAGTTTAATTTACTATTAATTAAAAATCGTGTGATGTGTGTTTATATTATAGGAAGTTTAAGGTCAGTCAATTCTTTTCATTAAAGACAATCAATGAACAAAATCTAAATGAACCGTTCCGTTTTAACACGTAACGTTCACGCAATTAAAACTAGTCATCAAAGTTAAATTATTTCAAGTGAATTTGAATTGGTTAATTCTAAGTATAACAATTTAAAAAAATACTACACAATAATATTATTACATCTTAATCTACATCGTCAATTTGAATTTCCTCAATCAACAGTTTAGATTTTTTATTTTTTTATTTTTAAATATTATATAACTGTTTATTTATTTTATATATTTTAGCAATTATTGTTATATTAACGGATACAATCGTACAAGCGTAAATAAATTATTTTTAATTAATGACATTCAATTATTAGACTATAATTATCAAAACTTATAATTATAATTATCAATTTATTTATTTTTCAGCAATTTAATTTTATCATCGTAATTTCACAAAAATATAATTTGATTTTAGTTCTGACGCATGTCTTAGCTGTATAAAAACTCTACTCAGCTGTAGAAGTGATAAACTTAAAAGGATAATTATTTTACTATTACAAAATTAGTACTGTACTATTATAACTACACATAATATGATGTCTGTCCGAGAACAGTTTTGTTTTGTGGTTTGATACACAACATTTTCATATTTTTCATTAAAAATGTTACCGTAGAAAATCAGTTTAAACCGATTATCAAATTCTTTGTATTGAGCAACGTCTCAATTAATTTGTGTAGGCACAGCTCATTTTGAACAGGTAAAGATATAATATTTACGATTAAACAATACTATTATATAGGTTTACACTACACATCTATGAATTTTGACCTACCACATATACGAATTATATTTTATTTCAAAAGACTAATGTATTATTTTGTTATTATTGTTAGTGAATTTACCAAACTATATATAATTACGCCGTTGACTGATGTCGACTTTCATTATTTAAAATACCTACCTTATTATAATATTGTGAAAAATCAAATGAGATGAATATATATTTTATTTAAATTTACGTTTTTCAGTTATGATTAATTCAAACCTTTATATTTTATACGTATGTTAGGCATCGCGTATTAAGAGTAGGACCATTTAATTTACTTACACGATACTTAATATGCATATTATTATATACAATGTTCATTGCTCTACGATGTATGCTGAATGGTTAAGTCTCGCCGGTAGACAATAGAAGTTGATGTTTATGCTGTCGGAAGTAGTATCTCAATATGAATCATCTTCATCAACAACTTGTGTGGTAAACCGAAAAACCACCGACACCGATCGGAATAGCCATGCTGGTAGTATAGTCGTCTCCTAGACCGAAAATCAAAAACAATGAGCTTATTGTTGTGAAAAACATAATATTTTTGATATATATTGTTTTACACGTGATATTTAATATGCACGAAACCTTATACGTTGTACACGTGTTTTGAATCATTTCAGTGGGGATATTATTAATATTTTGCACGCACAGAGTTTGTGTGCATTCGAACTAGACATGTTGCTTGATCATTTTGTCATCGCATCTGTTCAAAAACTAATATGCCTTGATCGTTTTTATTAAACTAATAATAAATAATAATTTTAATTATTTATTGTTGTTATTGTTATTAATTTGTGTGAACGACGAAATTTCAGTTTGTTGTGACTGTTTTTTTTTATTATTATTAATTTGTTGTTACATTTTTCATGTTCGGTTCATTGATTTTACTTTATGTTTACAACAAATACAGAGGTTCTCGCTGAATGTCACTTAAGACATTCGCTCAAGATCACCGCGCTGTACCGTAAATCAATCAACTAAGTTCAAATGAAATACAAGTTCAAGTAATTGTTGTTTGTTTGATTGTACTATATGCATGAAAATCATAATCGCATAAATCTTTAGAAAAAAAATCTGCAATAATATTATAATATATTAAATTTTATTTTTTGGATCGTTCAGTGCATGCCACAATTAAATTACTAATACATTAAGTAATATAACATATATATGTACCTACATTAAAACTATCAGTTATTCACGCGTGAAAGCATATAATTTTTTCTTTATATTAATTCAAAATATTTATAATCCGTTTGTTACAACGTCAAGCAATATATTATGTGCAAATCATTTGTATACAAGTATAAATTAATAATATAGCTTTACAATAATAAGTAATAACATAACATAAACATAACATGTGACAAGGAGACAATTCGCACTAACCGCACCTTAGAATTTATTCTTAACATTTACATACATAAATCTTTGAAATTTGGGTTTTAGCACAGTTGTAATTGCCTGTTAAAATGACAATAATTTGTATTATTTTTTATTAATATTTAACAAACAATTACTAAACTACGTAATATTTTTCATAATATTATTTTTATTACCAGGTTAAAATATTATTTTACTTACAAGTTATACAATCTCGTTTTTGATTGCAATCTTATTTGTTTATATAGTATTAGAAATTTCCCTATTTGAGTAACAACACTAAAAAAATATTGTGTGTCCATGTAATAGGTACAATTTATTCAAATATGATTACAATATTCTCTAGAAAAATAATAAAACCTTTTTGATGTTTAACATAACATTATCTTCGTGCTATGTATAATATTTACAACATTATTCATAACAACCCTTTTAAGATAATATCAAAGACTTGCTTAGTGACTTAGTGTATAATTTTAAATAAATAATCCTCTTCATATAATTTGAGCCGTGACTGTTTCCTTCTGATCTTGATAATATATTATGTATTTTGATGGCAACAGTATTATTTTGCGTAGTACCTATTTACGTTATTACGCATTAGTTCTTAAAGCTGGTGCATTATTATAATAAAGTCTAGTGTATCCCTCAGTCTACATTTGTATAACCCGGATAGCATAAAATCGTTTTAATGGTATATTATCTATTATAATTTGGTTGCTGTTTTGATTTGAAAAAAACTAAAAAGTCATTATATGTATGGACTTCGTATGAATTTAAAATTATTTATTATGTCCAACGTGCGACAGCTATCTTGGTAAGACATAAGCACGACGAACAACTGCAGTATACTAATTAATTGAACTGCGTGTGCATTAAATATGTATTTTGTAATTACATTACAATATAATATAATACACTCAAGATATGAACTAAAAAATATTATGTTATATACTTATTTTTAATTAAAACGATAGCGCCTGCTTTAATTTATAATTCGTCAACGGCCCGTCACAACACGCACATATTAGTGTATTACTGAATGCTAATAATATATTATAACACCGTATGAGGCCCACAACCCTTAGACAAATAATTATAATAATTTTATTTAAAACGACCTACTACATGTTTCTACTACACATAATAATAACAGTAATAGTACCTAATAATAATAATAATAATAGTAAAAATAATAACAATAATAATAGTAATAATTACATTGTGTGAATAGTAGCCACTGGCCAGTTGTAAGTACCTATGTATTGTTCTCGCTTCTCATAACAAATCTGCTGGAGCGATATCGATTTTATTTTAAGCAACTCTCTGTGAATAATGAATAAATAATAGGTAACCCCTTGGCACAAAAACGGGTTTGGAGCACAATCCATGTGGACGAAAACGGTTTGAAGGGTATTATGGCGCACATTTTACGAACAAAAAAATAATTTATAAAAAATGACTACTGCGTGGGGTTTGACGAATAAGAATGGTGAAAACGTTTGTCGTTGTCCCCCGCTGTTAGCCGAGGAACACGATTATATGCAAATGTTGTGAAGGGGAGAATTGCGAGAGCGCAGTATAGTCCTATAATATTAGGTAGGTACCTACCAAAAAGAATAATAATAATTGTATAAGAATAAAAATAAAAAAGCGTACCTAAAAAACACAACTCGATGCTCCCAGAGACATGTACGAGTATAATAATATAGGTCAAGGTGTGCGGATATCAGACATAATAATAGTATACGGTCCTAATCTATGCGAATACTAAATGTCATTTTAATATAATATATATATATATAGTGTAATATTATTATCGCCGTGCGTAGGTATATGTTTTTAAGACAAGACGAGCAGTCTGGTAACGGTGCTCGACATTCATAAACGGCTTTCGCCGTTTCGCGTCAATCCAATTTACAGCAGTTTAAATTGAGTTTTTAGCGTGCGATTTAGTTATGCGTTTCAAAATGCGGTAAATATGATGATAATAATAATAATAATAATAATAATAATAAATAATAATAATAATAATAATAAATAATAATAATAATAATAATAAATGGTTATACCTACGCTCTTGCAATATTGGTATTCTTGCTTTCTTCGCTACAGCTAAATCATTATTCGATCTGAAACATATATAATGATAATATAAACGCATCTGTGAACAGCGTAACTACAATATAATACAAATAATAATAATAATACCTACAAATAACGCAAATTGTTACGCAGAACGTGCTATACATAGGTAATACAACTTAACGTTAATTTGTTAGTCTTGCGGTTGTTATTGTCGATTATATATTTTTATATGTCTGCGAATCTGTGATATTATATTATTATTGTGCCGTAAAATATGATATTAAATAGGTACCCCCCCCCCCCCCCGAAACCTCAAATAACAAACATCTTACCCTCGTTTTACGAGCTCTCCCACCCCTAATTGATCAACAAGCCACGATTATAATATTAAGTTAATATACGCGCCAAGCGCTTGATAAGGTACGCGTTCATTTGCCGGTCTTAAAGTTGAAGTAAACGAGCCGATAAATTTAGACCAGCCGCCTTTTTACGACGTTGGAACATATAAAATACTATATAGTCTATTATTGTTTTTCGTGTGTCTAAAATAGAATGGCGATTTTAATTAGAATGAAGACATAATATTAATGGCTGGGCTAACGCACAAATATCTGTCGTCGGAGTCATTATGTACCTACACGTCACATGTACAATTTAATATTATACTAAATACCTAAATAAATATATTTATCGTAATTCGTACATGACGTGTATCGTAAAATGTTTAGTACTCATAATATATTATATTATTCACATAACGTATAGTGTATACCGCGGTATACGTAAATTTTTTTATCGAATATCTATTATACTTGTAGTCGTTATTATTTGTAGGTAATAATGGGCAACGCATTACTTTTTTTGTTATGTCTCTATATTGCAATTGATATTATATTTATCCCTTTAGAAAATATAAGTAAGTAGCTATCCAGGTAAAGGTAACTATAAAACAATTTTTTTTTAATTTTTAAATAAATTCAGTAATCATTTCTAATAATATATATGATTATAATAATATAGATAACTGTGATATTAAAATGAAAGTCAAATCACAAAAAAAATAGTAATAACCTGCACCAAGCAATTACAGTAGCCTAAAAAAATTTTTTATTTTTTTTTGCATATTTATTGGTGAGGTATATTTTATTTTAATAAGTTATAGACTTATATTATGAGAAACGTATTTACACTTATTTATCAACTACCTACCACTCATTGAGTCATTCCGGGTATTTTTAATCTATTTTAAAAAGTATCCCATAGTGAGTTCTTCAGCTAGTCGACTCCTCGCCTGCTGCATTTTTGCCATTTTTTATTTCGTCACTGCATGGTCCAACTCTGAGCTTACAGCAATAAATTGTACATGGCATGCAATTTGGACACACCACTCTGAGATATGGCAGGGAATTCGGAAAGATCTCTTTTAGAGGTGGCATGCAATTCGGACAGACCCCTCTTAGAGACGGCATGCAATTATATTGAACGTTTCAGTTTGCTTATATTTTTGGCATACAATACGGATGCATTGAAGACAATTTATCTGCCATGTGCCTAGATAGTCATAACAAATAACAAATATTTTTAAGTAAATAGTAAATACATCATACTTATACATACGTATAATATGATAAAAATGGCTTCATGGGAATTTTGAATGCTTTGGCATTTTACAATGCGTGTTTTATTTGCTTATAAGAATATTAAAACCATTGCAGGGTGTAGTCTCAACGCCACATTGAAGATGATAGGTACTTATATTTATTACAATTGTTTAGTTTACTTGTCACATATTCTGTCAGCACCTATCGGCTATCAGTACCTATATGTGTTTTTCGTTATAGAGGATTTTTTCTTAACCATTAGACGACCGTCCGTGCCGTGTTATCCTGCATTTGTGTCCAATTCTCAGTCTATTCATTATTGTTTTTTCCTTTCTTTTTAATTCAGGATTTCCTAATTCGTTTTTTGTGTTTTTGATTTTACTTAGTTTAGATTAATTTTTTTGCAGGGGACTTACTTAGTAAAAATTTGATTTTTGTCTTCAATATGATTTTTATGTCTGTACAAGTTGTTATCTGTAGGTGACAGGAGTGGTGTATTCATTTTATCAGTTCTGTTATCCTTATTATTCTTTGTCCACTGTTTCGTTACCTTCTCCATGTTTGCTTTGTGTTTTTTATTGTTTTTCTCACGCCACATAATATATTTATAAAATCCACTACATACTGCCTGTAATATATTGGTGTCTTGTTTTTTTTATGAGAATTTCGATCGCACTTTCATCACACAACGTTATTGTCTCTAACAAAGAAACGCCGTATAGATTTTTACGTCACTTTATGTTTTCATTAAAAAAAAGTAAAAAAACTTAAAATATTATAACAATAAATAATAGTAAAATATATACATTGTTTTGAAAAATGTGATTTCAATATGAGTTAAATTATGTAAAAAAAATATTTTCAAAATGATGAATGTCTTACTTAAAAAAAATAATTTTGAACCTGTATAATATATTTAATATTGTATAGGTACAGTGTGTACCTCGATGGATGCCATCAATTTTCGAGAAAGTACATTGGTGGAGATTTGATTGAATTTTAGCGAGGGGATAAATGTTTCTATAAAAAATAAGCCAATTAATAACATAAATAAAAATAATAATTTTAATTTCAGAACTAACGCTCCCATCTTTAAATCTCCTCCCATGTCACACTAATTTTCTTAATCGTTATATATAACTTATAATAAGTTGTTGTTAAAATTTCAAATTTAAGATTTTTTATCAAGAACTTATAGGTATATCGTTACGAGTAGACATAGTTACTTCAGATTACCTAGTATAATAACAGTTAATAAATACTGGCGTGGCCATGGATTAATAATAATATTTGACATACTGCACCATGTGCATTATTATACTGTAACAGTGTTGTGTACCATATAATATGTTATACTTTTTTGTGTAGTGTCCACGAAGCCGCTGACGAACCGATGGACGGCGACGCGACGTACGCGACTCGGAGGAAGTCCCTCCGAGTGTCTTGGACGCTGTTGACGTCATCGTTCGCGTTCATCGTGCTACTATGCGCGCTGTGCCTGTTCTTCTTCTTCCACCCGCGGACGTGCGGGCAGTCGTCTGGCGGCCCACGCTTCGGGTCCACCGAAAAGATACTGGACGAGATCCGAGGCTTCGACTACGAACGGATGGAGAACGACTACGGCGCCACGGACGTCCGGTTACCGACGGAAGTGGTGCCGGAATCGTATGACCTGCGGATAATACCATTCCTGTGGGCCGGAAACTCGACGTTCGACGGCCAGGTAGACATCGTCGTCAACGCAACGGCCCCCGTGGACGGTGTGACGCTGCACGCCGTCGACTTGAACATGACGGAATGCCTCGTCACCAGGTAAACGATTTAACGACATTTAGAAAACAAAATAATTAAGGACAGAAGACGTGCGAATTATGGTGTCGCGTGAGGGAAGCAGACCGCACCCGGTGGAGACGTATAGCCGGCCAGTGAGGAGGCTGATAGGCATGATCGTGCGGCATTGGCGGACATTTGGTTGAATTTGTAGGGGGACTAAATAATCCAATATAACAATGCAATAAACCTAACCTAACCTTCGAATAGTTCTACTTTCTAGGGTGATAAGCCCCTTAACCCCCTCCCTGAAATCTACCTATTGGTGGTGGATAAAGATGTTCGCAAGTACCCCGATCCCACCCGGAGATGGTTAGATATAAGATATTATGGATAGGCATGATGGGTGGGCAATGGGTATAGACTTTTGAGAGTAGCTCCTTCCCACTCGTGGGAGGAAATGGCTAAAGAATTTTATACATCGCATATACATAATTTGTACGTCTAATATTATATATAATTATAACTATAACATTTTAAATATTATAAGTGTTTTTCAACCATGATATTGTCATATTGTATACTCTATATTAATTGTATAATATTATATCTAAATATCTAATAGGTATCCAAAAATGGTACTAAATGAACACGTGATGGCTGAGAGTGTTTTCGTTCCTATTCTAGAAACACAACAAGATCTTTCTAAACAGTTTTTCATTATAAAATTCAAAGATGTACAGCCAGCTGATTATCAGTACAACATTCACATCAAATACACTGGAAAACTTCAAGACAACATGGAAGGGTTTTATAAAAGTTCTTACAACGTAGGAAACAAAACTAGGTTAGACATTTAAAGTGTATATTTTTATTTTACGAATCATTAACAATTTTATTCATAATTTATATTTAAGGTGGATAGCTGCAACGCAATTTCAGCCAACTGACGCAAGAAAAGCATTTCCTTGTTTCGACGAACCTGCTCTAAAAGCTAAGTTTACTGTGTCAATTGCAAGACCCGAGGATATGAGTTCCATATCCAATACCGGGCTTAAATATGTCGACAGTAAATTGCCAACACTGTAAATTAAAAAATTGCTATTTGTTAAAAAATAATTTTCAAACTTTCTGAAATTAACGTAATTTAACATTTTTACAGATCAGAACCTTTGTCGTCTTACGAATGGGACACGTTCGAACAAACGGTGCCCATGTCTACTTATCTAGTGGCGTTCATTATTTCCGATTTTGAATACTTATCCTCGGAGACTTTTAGAGTATGGGCTAGAAGTGATGTGTTATCGCACACTCACTATGCTCGAGACATCGGTCCTAGCATATTAAAATTTTATGAAGAATTTTTTTCCATTCCTTACCCGTTGAAAAAGACCGATCTGGTAGCACTTCCAGATTTTGCCGCTGGAGCCATGGAAAATTGGGGCTTAGTGACGTTTCGGTAAGTAATATAGAGTTATATTTTCAATGATATAGCCAACATTGTCTCTACACACAATTAATTACTAACCCAGTAAATATATACAAAAATAATTTCC